TGTGGCACACATTCACTGTGAAGTTGCCTGTTACAACTGATTCAAACCAGATTCAAACCAGCAACTGTTCCGGTAACAAGCCAGAGAGAGGTGCTAGGGATAGAAATAAAGTTGGAGCTAAAAGAGATGGCAGAGATTATTGTTGAGAGCAATTAGAGTAAGTAGAGGAGTGTGGAATCACACACACACACACACACACACACAGGCCCCCTCCATAAAGCTGGCTCGCTCAGCCGTAGTGGGACTCGGAGGCTGGCACAGCTGGCGGTGCCCGAGCACACTGGGCACAATCTCCCTCGCCCCGTGCCAATCTCAACCCACGCTCGTCACATTCAAATTCGCCAAGCTTTATTGGCAAGATGAACGCGGTCACCGTTGCTTGCCATCATGCTGGGAGACCAAATACAATGCTGATCTTTCACAGGCAAGTGTCTCCTCCAGTGTTCCAGCTCCAGTTAACTTTAGTGTCACAAGCGAAAAGTGTTCAAGGAAAAACGTGATCTTGTTTTCTGTCAATTCATCTCTCCTTTTGAGCTTGTCTGCAATCCTGGTCTTGATTAGGAGGCATTACATACTGTATATGCACCCTCATATTCCACTTTTAAGCTCTTACAAGCCTGTCACAATGCGACAGTTACACAACGCAGGATGCCTCTTCATTCCAAGCATTTGAAAGAAAATAGCTGGGGAGCAGATCTTACTCCAATAGGACTCCCTCAAGTCTAAAACAAGCTTTGTCTTTGTCAGAACAGTCAGTCGCTGGTTCATTATTTAAAGAATCTTCACGTGCAGAACCGTTGTTACACCTTTATTTTATGAGTGAGCGTTATTTTCTTTTCTAGTCTACCCATCGCCTCATATACCCACCTATCTCGTCTTATTTCTACTTCAGTTAGTCATTTTCTACATTTCCTCAAATGCCTTTTGACAACCTTTAACAGAACAGGCAGGAACATGTTGCGCTTGTGCTGTGGGTTAAACATGTGGGTGGAGAGAGAGCAGTACTGTAGCAGTAGGGATTGCAAAGTAAGTGTAGGAGAATGAGTTTTTCCAGTCAAGAAAAATGTTGAATCAGGCCTCTTACGCAAAGCACAACTCTTGTCTCTGAATTGCATTCTGGTCTACTGAGCAGAGTGTTGGTGTAGAAATTGCTTCCTTGTTCTCTGATGGATTTCTGAAGGTTGAATGCAGATGTAAAATGTTGGGTCAAGGAAGAATTTATGACTGTGACACCAAATATGACCTTTACTTTGTGTGTTTTAAACTTTCATGATTATAAATTATTGGATATTTCTGCAGGAAAATGTAAAAAACTCAATAGAAATTCACAGCCCATTTCTTTAGAACTACAACCTGCTGCAACTTCCTCTATTCAAGTTCCCTGTACTTCAAATACTTCTCTTGTGTTTTAGCATCCAGTTACTAACGCGTTTGGGATAGTTTTGTCACGATACCGGAATTTCTAACTGCAATGCGTTGACAAATATGGATAATTGACATTGAGGGCATTCATTTTAGATCTCTATCAAAACATACGTGTGTGTGTGTGTGTGTGTGTGTGTGTGTGTGTGTGTGTCAACTCTCTTTTGGAGAGAAGACGGAGCGGTGGAAATATTCAATGTTGATATGCAAAAATACATGAATATTTTTGCCAGCATCACTGTCTACTGTTCAGATACATGGATAAATACATGGATTTTTATTTTAGAGATCAATAATTTGAGAGAAAATATGAACGAAAAGAAAATATCTCATTGATTTTAAATTAAATGATAAAATATATATATATATATATATATATATATATATATATATATATATATATTTAAGCTAAAAATCGCTGTGTGCAGCGATCTGAACTGCGTCTATAGAGCGGTCTGTTATCCATAATAGTGGTCTGCTATACAGAAATAGCAGACGGTAGAATTAAATGAAACCGCGTAATAAACGGTAGTATGTGTGTAGGTGTGTGTGTGTGCCCCCCCCTCAGACAGGCTAATATGTGCCACAGCCTCTGGAACAGGACAGGATGTCCTTGTCCAGCATGTCTTCATTTTATCTTCTTCTCTAAACTTACTCCCAATTTCCATTCCTCCATTTATTTGTCTGTTTTAGAGAATCATTTAGAATATTTTTGCTTCTTTTAAATGAAAAGCTTTTGTGTTCTTCTTTGTCCTTCACCTATATTTCATCTCTGTTTCACTTAAAGCCTCTCTTTCTCTGTCTCTCTCTGTCCCCCTGCCAGTTGGCAGCATATCTGCCCTCAGGTGTTTATTGACCAGCCTCCCTTCTCTTCCTTTGTATCTACCCATCCATTCCTCCCTCCATCCATTCATCCCTCCATCCGGCCAGTCTCTGCCAATACTCCCTGGTGGCTGTGCTTTGGCAGCGCTGTGGAACGAGACTGTGCCGTGTTTTTTTCTCTGACACCTGGCCCAGCTCACTTCAGCCCTATTATGAACCAGTAACTTCCTACCCAGTGTAATGGGCAGCCTAAAACATATGAAACATAGAAGTGGAAGCAAAGCCTAACATTTTTCATGTTCTTAATGTTTTCGGGTGGTACGTCAGTCCGAAAGGGAGTTTATTCAAATTTGGCACAAACGTCCACTTGGACTCAAGAATAAACTGATTTTAGATGTTGGTGGTCAGAGATCACTGTGACCATGTTCATGTCCATGTTCATGATCACATGTTGTTGGCCATATTTAAAGAATGTATTTGCTTATTATGACAATTTCACACAAAGCTCTAACAGGTTTAAAGGATGACGTGATGACATTTTGGACAGACATGGATGTAAACTGCAACATGACTGTTTGGCAGAGGCAAATAACCAAGAGTTGGTAATTCTAGTTTTTACTTTATACGGTTTTACTTTGTGGGATTTAACATTATTCATTAATTCATCAACACTGGGGGGTCATTAATCAATTATTTTAGCTCTCAAGGTCGTGCACAGTGGCTGATTTTTCTTCTGCTGTAAGCTTGTTCTTACTGAGAGCTGCACTGAATGCTTTTAATGCGTCCACTTAATTGAGCAAAAGCTTTCTTCGTACTGTTTGCTTCTGCTGCTCTGTTATTGATAGTTGTGTTTTTTTGTGTAGCTTTCAATCAAAGTTACAGCCACCTTTCAGACAGGAAACAGTAAATGGAAGCAGCTTCATGGACACATTATGTTCAGGTAAGCTCTGTCCTATGCTGTCTGATTCTGACTTATGGTCCAGCATCAGTCTTGTCATATTGGCTTTTATCTAAGCAGAACTGAGCCAGGCCATCTGAATTTATCTTTGGCCTGAGGACAGTCTGTTATTCGATAGGCAGCTTTATGGTTTAGTTGCCGAGATGTAACTGAAGGGAGGACAGCTGATTCAGAATAAATAATGCTGAAAAGAAAGTAAACGAGGGGATAAAGTTGAGTCCAGCAGACACAAATACTGTAGTCTTTAGAATAAGTGAAATCATAAATGAAATCAGCAGAAAACAGCAGTAATGAGCTAACTGTTGTAAAAACTCACCCTCCTCTGTCTGTGCTTCTCTCATCTCTGTTCCTTTATCTCGCTGTCACTCAACTCTTTATGGTCAGCACACACGTACTATACATGCATATCTTTCCAAATACACTGAGGAACTTAGGCACAACCACACACACACACACACACACACACACACACGCGCGCATACATTGACACATGTATGATGTGATAAGACTGTCTGTCCTTGGAACAGAGCTGTGTGTCTGGTGATAGCCAGTTTATGAAGTCATGATGAGACTGGTTGTAACTGACAGGCTGGCGGATCGCGTGTGTGTGAGAGTGTGTGTGTATGAGAGAGAGAGAGAGAGAGAGATAGATAGAGAGCCTTTGCATGATGGTGTATACAGCCCTGTCAGTCATCGCATTGCCCTCCATCGCCACTTTGCTGTCTTTCTCTCTTCTTCTCCAATATCTCCGGTTGACAGAAACACATAAGTGGGGAGAGGGATAAAGAGAGAGAAAGCAAAATAGATATAGGGAGTAAAAATGATTTTAAAAGAAATGTATATGGTCGTGGAAATGTTTGACAGCAAAGTAACAAAGAAATAAGAGACGAGAGCAACTGATGTTAGAGGAAGGAAAAGGACAGCTGCGAGAAGGGAGGGAGGATAAATTAAAATAGAGAGAAAGGGAATAATTTGGAAAAACGAAAAGATGAGAGAAAATGAGACAAAGTGAGTAAGGGAGGGGGAGTAGGGGGAGAATGGGAGGAAGAGGATGAATAGGGTAATAATGGCTCAGTGTGAGAGCTGTTGTGGAAAAAGAGAGAACGGCTGAGTGAAGAAGAGAACAAAATGAGGCTGAGGGCACTCAGACAGATAGAATTAGACACACCGCAGAGGTTCGGTGTGTGTTAGTGTGTGTGCGTGTGTGTATGACACACACTAAGACACACACCGAGAGAGTGTGCGCTTATGTTTTTAGGTGTCCATGTGTGCAGCCAGCCGTATTCTGTGGATGGTTACTAGGTTTGCCTCGAGTGTGCTCGTTGTCTATGTCTGTGTGTGCGTTTTTATGGGTTTTTACGAGTTTGAGGAAATAGACGCACCGGACAGCCGGCTGTGACAGGTGGAGAGCTTTAAAGAGATTTTTTTTCTGCTTATTGTGATGTGTAATGTGTGTTCACTCATAAGTGTGTATGTGTGAGAAGGAAGAGAGAGATGGAAGGAAGACTGAAGAGCGCGTGAGGCCGAGCTAAATGAGAGTGTGATGGTGCTAAAAGACCCGAGGATGACTGGAGCTCTAATGCTGCCTCCATCCTTCCTCCTCTGTCGTTCACTCCCACATGTTCCTTCTCTCTGTCTCTTGTTTTCGCTGACAGAACTCCGCCCTCATTTGAAATATGTTTCAAAAAGTGTTTCATATGCTGTTTTTTTAAACAATATGTGACGATATGTGATGGTAATATATCCTTTTCTCTCCCCTTCTGCCTCTCTCTCCCGTTTCTCTGTCTTTCCATCTCAGGCGGAGATTGTCAAGCGTCTCAGTGCCATCTGCGCTCAGATCATCCCTTTCCTCTCTCAAGAGGTAAGTCTCACCACTGCCAGACACACTTAGAGATAAACACAAAATATGCGCACACACATAATCAGGAGGTGATTATTCACACCCCAGGCCTATATCACATTTCTTTGCATTCAGAATAATTAATCAACCAGAATACATAAAATTGCATGCAGAGCAAAATATAAATTCAGAAGTCCTCATTATATTTTCAAAAGACGTTGATTTTAATTTACGTGTTCAAGTTGAATAACGTGTAAAGAAATCAACAGAAACGTCACCAATGCATTGCAATGTTTTACTCGACTACTTCAGCAAATATTTCATGTTAAAATGTTAAATTGTTGAAAGAAATGTGTCCATTCAACTTTATTTTTTAATTTTGATGCTATAGTTTTGCATTTCATCCCAATTATTGCAAGCTGCCTCAATAAGGGCCCGTGTCCACCAAAGTGGGCTTTTTTTTTCCCAGCTGAAAAAGTCAGGCTCTCTTCTGAAAACGTCGTGTTGTTTTCAGCCGAGATGTTGTGGTTGTGTCTGGTTGCTATGTTACGGGATATCTGCGTAAGTACAAGGGGCGGCACATGGTAGAGTAGCCTTATTATAATATATATATATATATATATATATATGAAGGGAAGGCTGGAGCACATAGAAACAGAGGACGATGTTATTTTTATATTATTAGTATTCATTTCTTCTCCATTGTTCAGCACTCACACATTTGTGACAGGCATTTTTTTGCAGTTTGCCGTGTCTTTTTTATTGTTTATAGGCAACCAAAGAACCATACGCCATGAATTGTGCCCTCCCTAATAGTCAATAGTACAGCTTAAATGAATGAAACCAACTTACTGGAAATCAAGTACCGCACTAATCTGCCTCTAGGCCTCCTGCTTTGTGTTCAGATCATGGTAACTACGGTTGGTAAATTCAAAATCCACCACAAAGAGAAAAAACTAATGACGCTGGCTGCTTTTCTGTTCTGACGTTTTTTCAATTTTTTGTATTGCTCTGTCGGTGTGTGTGTGTGTGTGTGTGTGTGTACAAACCTGCAGACACACTTCTTTTTGTCTGAGGGCGTGAGTGTTAGTGTGCACTGCTGCCTGGAGACATGAAGGTCACAGTGCTGTCAGGTTGTTCAATATTGACACTGTGTGTGTGTGTGTGTGTGTGTGTGTGTGTGTGTGTGTGTGTGTGT